GTACACTTCCACAACTCTTACCCTGCGTATGCAAATCTTTTTGACTTAATTCTACCTTCACACACCCCTACCCCTTCACGTGAACGTGCGAAACGGAGGGGTATAGTGGAAAGGGGACCCAGATAGCAAGAACGTTTGGGCCAAATGTGGCTGATAGCTGTCACATTTGGACTAGATATGGCATGGCTGAGCACATATGGGCCAAACTTTAACCGTATATGTTTTTGCCATGGATTTAGAATTGGAGGGAATTTTCTTTTGGATGACAATTTTTTGTAGGTATATGGCCCAGATGACAGCACACAACTGAGAGCCATATGTGGCTTGGCTATGGCACACCATGGAATATGTTAATTTATGGCTAACATTTGGCTTTTATTTGGAAAAACACATATGAACTGCTGGCAGGTCAGTGGCAGTCCACATCTCAGCCCGTTCAACAATGCTATTGGTTGCTTTGTGTCTTCCCTTATTCCTATTGGTGGATTACTGAAATTTTGAAAATATATCCGTTATTTCCCGCTCTGCTTCCTCTTTCAATCGCCGTTAAAAAAGAAGAAGATGATGAAATTTGAAAATATATCCGTTATTTCCCGCTCTGCTTCCTCTTTCAATCGCCGTTAAAAAAGAAGAAGATGAAAAAGCTCCCTATTTACAACAACAGCCTTTGCTCAGACACATTCTTATGCAGGTAAGTGCAGTTTTGGTTTTTTAAATGTTTTCTAGGGGTGTAATGGTACACTTATTCGTACCGAAAATCGTACCGAACAATTACAGTGTCATTTTAACCACTGCACGTGCGGAACTTAATCCGTTTCAGTTCATAGCCGTGAATAAATCTTCACTAGGCTATATACATTATTACTATACAGTAGGCTACATTCTGTAACCGTAAGGTTTGTGTTTTTTTATTTTGGAAAGTCTCATCTTTAAAATTATGTATATTTTATCAGGAAATTAAATCCGTAAATGCCGTTTTGACGCTCTTTGATGTGGCGTGACAGACCGCTGTAAGCGGAAGCGCGGATCATATCAACAGCTAAAGTGTAGCCCAGATTAGTTCGTGTTTGCCGGCCCAAAACTAGTCCACATCTTTTTAGCCAGAACTGAACCAAAACAGTGCCATAACTCAACCCAGAGTGAGCCAAATACAATAATCCCTTCCCTTTAATGAACCTTTCTACTAGTTACAACAGGTTATGTTCTGTATTGTAATTCTGTTATTAAAATTCTACTATAAACATTTAAAAAATGAGTGTGAATCCATTTTTGTGTTTAAGATTTACTGTGTAATGGGTATTTTAAATAAAAAAATATAGGTGTGGTGTAAATATGTTTAAATAATGGCATTTGGTTTGTCAGCCACATGTGGGCCACATAAGGGCCATCAGCCCTTTACAGAACTCAGCCATATAAGAATACCATATAAGGTCCATATATCAGCCACATCTGTTTTTATTATTTGGCTCACTCTGGGTTGGGTTATGGCACTGTTTAGGTTCAGGTCTGGCTAAAAATATATGGACCAGTTTTGGGAAATAAACACGCTCATGTCATGTAATCTCAATCAGTTTTGCAACCGCTGAAAAATGCCAATAAAACAGCATTACCTTTACCGCAGGCAAGTCATTCAGTGTCCACAGCTTGTTGCTAGAAAAGTGCAATGTGCGAATGTGCAGTTTATATGTTTGCATACATTTTTTTTTTAGTGTTGATTATTGTATCTAAAAATAATTAGAAATTGAATTTAATAGATTGGGCTCTGTTGTTAATTGCAGCCTTTAATATTTTAGTAATGTGCTCTAATAGGGCTCCCTATTGTATAGCATTAGCTAAGATAGATTTTTTTATCCTTAAGAAAATTGTAATTATAATTGAGTTTATTTAAAGGCAGAGCCATAAATTGTTCAGTAAACCACTGTTTATTAGAAAAAAAAAAATAAAAAAAGCTATTGTATGTTTTCTCCCCCTGCTCTACCAAAAATGTATGAAACTGTGACTTCAAAACTGAGGTACAATTACACTACTAATGTTTTCATTAATTTTATGTATATTATTAAGTAAAAATAGCCTGTTATTAAAGTAGCTACAATTTTCCTAATTTAAAAAGGCACTCATGTCTTGGGTGATAGAAAAGAATGTGTGCAGTGCTGATTTACACTCATTTATGTGCTTGTCTTGAAATAATATCTAATGTGTGATACTAATTATGATATACTAATGTTCTTTTTTCTCTTCTTTTTCCTGACAGACTGTAACGGGGCTGACGAGACGTGAGACGTGTGGATCCATCTGCAAGCTTTATTAAAGAGACGTGGTAAACAGGTCACTCTGGGTTGGGTTACGGCACTGTTTAGGTCCAGTTCTGGCTAAAAATATGTGGACCAGTTTTGGGCCGGCGAACACAAACTAATCTGGGCCACACTTTAGCTGTTGATATGGGCCAGATCCACGCCAAAGGAAATTTGCTGACTGGGGAAGGGCTAAGGGCTAGAATTGGGATTGGGCCTATAAATCATAATTATGTCCCCACTGGATGCAACAAATGGCTCGTTTATAATGGGTTTTATTGGTTTTTTATCGC